TTACACTTTAAACAGAAAGTTTGCTCTTTTAAGAGTCCATAATATGCTGTTCTCCTCTCACAATAGATTAGATAGCAACTGCTTTAGTTTGTTGGCATTTCCTTATAGAGTACGAATTGGTATAAAAAATTTCGCAAGTGAGCTTTAAAAATGTAACGAACACGTTTGAATATACGGGGTGATCCAGTGTTTCGAACAAGCTCATATCAGGTTTCATATATGATATTTTCACTTCAATTTATTTTGTAAAATATGCAGACAATCATAATTGGGCAACGGCCCAGCTACGTCGAAACACCGGTTCCCATTAGAACACCGAAGTTAAGCGACGTAAGGCGATGCTAGTTGATGGATGGGTGACCGGTTCGAAACTTTGCATCGTGCTGTTGTCCAAGGGAAAAGTGTAAAATCTATTGATACACACTGCTCATTCACGCCGGTTCGAGGCCGGATGAGATCGGATATCTGGTGAGTAAGAGTTAATTTAGACACTTCCTAAGTCGGTAGGCCATTGACCATGATATGGCCGAGGACCGCGGTTCGGATTCCTCGTAAACAAAGTAGGTCCCGTCCAGTTTAGCCATTGCAGCAGAAAGGAGACGTTAACTTGAACCTCACTCACAATCATAATTATTTAATGGACCGATTTTGATGTTTTTAAGCAATTTGTAGCTAAATTATTTGACTTCACCTTTCTCCTTTTTTACGGCCGCCATAAAAATGTCTGTAGATTTTTTTAACACAGTAAAGAATTTAAAAATCGCAAGTGCATTTTCGACAATTTATTTTTTGATTCATGTGTCATGCTCTTTAGATTGATTAGATATTCACTTTTGAAGATTTACAACAATTTTAGCATTAAAAGCATGCCCTTGCGTTTAGTCCTCATCAACACACCTACGAAATAGTATTTACTGTTTTTATAATGTCACTGTTATTGAAAAGGCATATTATTATCGATTGTTTGCAGTGACTCAAGGAGAAATTAGGTAGGTTCTATTATAAATTATTTATTCTATTTAAATAACTAAAACTTCAGTTTTATACTCAATTGAAACCGAAAATTGATTTCTATTAAAATATTTTTCAAATCTTCACTAACATTGCCTGCATATTAAAAAAAATTGAGTGAATATCTGAAATATAGTCTCTATTGACGATGAGTGAATATCTGAAATATAGTCTCAAATGACGGCCATACGAATACCAAAACCCAAATAAAATTACTTTTCAACGATATATCATGTTCCTATACCTAAACCTTCCGGTTTCTTCAGTAAAGCTATTTAAAATGTAACAATTCGCACTAATTAATTTATTCTTAATTATATTTAATAATATTACATTAATGATTAACCCTTCGGAGGTCGCGCTATTTTTCCCGATAATTCGAAAATCTGGAAACATCAGATGCTGTGCCGCTTAGTATCTTTCTGTCTCCGCAAATTTTATGAGAAGTGTACGTCTGCACATCATTTTGGGGTAGTTGTATCTTTTTATACTCATATGCCGTGTGTGAGTCCGCGCGCGACCGTGTTTTACTATTTTTACATCAATAATTTTATAATGTCGAACAAGGTAAGTTATTTAACTTATTTGTTTTAATTGAAAATGAGCAATTTGTGATACAAAACGTGAATAATTGACTTTTTTTTATGAAATAAGTACTATTTTTACATTTGCAAGGAAGACAGCAACAGCTCATGCAAGACTGTTTGAACGAAGATGACGAATTAACATGACGTTGAAAAGGAAGAACGAGAAGTGGATATTAAAGAAAGGCAAGGGCCCAAAATAAATTCTGATACAGAAAAATAAATTTCAGATTCTGAAGCAGAAAATACAGTATTACCAGAGAATCGGCACTACAGAATTGTGATAGGCGAGAAAACAGACCCACTCGCATCTTGATGTATCATATCTCCGTCGCGTTGCACCAACATGTATCATGATCGCTAGTTCGGAAGCCGAATTAACGCGATCATATGGTACACCTTTGTGATACCGTATCTGATACATGCCAATCCGAATTTCCGCGCGTATCTTAACACTGCGTATCGGATACACGTATCACGATCTGTCATTTGGACGTGTTTTGATACAGTATAAAGATACAATTGACTTGATACGCCGTGACCCGTCTTGAGGCGGTTTTTCTCCGATCATCAAAGGGGCATCGAGGGTTCCGTCCTGATAATATAAATGGGAATTGATGAACATGATACGACGATACAAGGTGATTTGTTGTACCGTCCACATACACTGATACGCACGCTTGTACGCTGATACGTATGAATTTTATAACTATGGACGCTTACTTTGGCACGATATGCATATTCAGTCGACACAGCCCAAATAAACGTCCATACTTACGATACAAGCTCTTGATACGTGATACATGACCCTGATACAATAGAGTTCTACATATGTGGACCCGGCTTTACTCTTTGTACAGTGTCACAATTTCGTATGTTTTGAGTACACACAAATATTCTGTGATCACTGTTATACGGATTGATTTTTTTATTATTATTAATTATTTTTGTTTTTGAATAATATTTATTAATTTGTTTTATGTTGTTACGAGTTTTATGTTGTTTTATGATATGCAGGGTGGCACACCTCATTCGCCTCGGTTGATTATACGAAAACGGAAAAATGTGGAAACAAACTATTTTACGGGTATATGTGGAAAGGCAATGTGCATAATTTAAAATTATTTTGAAATGTACAGGGTGTGTCAGAACTAAGATCCATGTCAAAGTTATAATTTTTCTTATGGAGCACCCGGTATTTTATTTCATTTTTGGATTCTTGGACATAAAATAAGGTATTTATTATAAGGGTTTGATATGTCTAAAAGCTTTGGTTTTTGAGATATTTAAAGATATTTAAATATGCATGCTATAATAAAAAGGTTTGTTAACACCTTATACATTACTTTTCAGAATTAATTCTGGTGCTGAGTTTCAAGCCAGAGAAATAAACTTAACTAAAAAATTTGATTGCTTCCTTAAATGTATACAGGGGTATCAAAAATTGCTGGTTTATTTTAACTATTTATTTTACATAAAAACTTTCGTTATTTCAAATGCAACACTATGTATTTTTTTAAATAAGTCGAAGCAGATTTAAATGCTCTTTCAAACTATATTAGGGTTTCCTATACCTATCTAGCTCAGATTTTGAATAAAAAGCGATTTTTCAATAAAATTGTAATCAAGCTGGCTGGTGTCGCCATGACAATTTTCTAGTGACACTTAGTAGCTATATATTTTAAAATCGACATTAGTTTATGGACTTTATTTAAATTTATAACAGGTTATTTTTATTTAATTTACCTACAATAGTATTAATAAGTAAGTATATATTATTTTATCAAGAAAAATGAAGCAGTATCTGCTGGCGGAAGGAATGCATATGTTACTAGTGATTTTATTTTGTGAGAACAATTGCTTGTTGGCCTGAAGGGTTTATGCTCAAAGATATCCTAATAGGAATCTTCCTGATAAGCGTTCCTTTAAAAACTACTTTTCCTATTTCGCAGAGCTGATAAAAAACCTATTAGGCAGAAACCTGTCGTTGGAAGTGAAGAAAATGAATTTACCTTAATTGATTCTTTTATAGACAATCCAATACATCTACAAGTCATCGTGATATAAATCAAATAACTACTTCTTTATTTTTCTTAACAAAATAATAAATGCTTACTTATTAAACTGTTGTGGGTAAATTAAATAAAAAGTTAACTGTTATAAATTTAAATAAAGTCCATAAACTAATGTCGATTTTGAAAATAACTACTAAGTGTTACTAGAAAATTGCCATGGCGACACCAGCCATCTTGATTACAGTTTTATTGAAAAATCGTTTTTTATTCAAAATCTGAGCCAAATAGGTATAGGAAACCCTAATATAGTTTGAAAGAGTATTTAAATCTGCTTCGACTTATTTAAAAAAATACATAGTGTTGCATTTAAAATAACGAAGTTTTTATGTAAAATAAATAGTTAAAATAGACCAGCAATTTTTGATACCCCTGTATACATTTAAGGAAGCAATCAAATTTTTTAGTTAAGTTTTGTTTCTCTAGCTTGAAAGTCAGCACCAGAATTAATTCTGAAAAGTAATGTACAAGGTGTTGACAAACCTTTTTATTATAGCATGCATGTTTAAATATCTTTAAATATCTCAAAAACCAAAGCTTTTAGACATATCAAACCCTTATAATAAATGCCTTATTTTATGTCCAAGAATCCAAAAATGAAATAAAATACCGGGTGTTCCATAAGAAAAAATATAACTTTGGTATGGATCTTAGTTCTGACACACCCTGTACATTTCAAAATAATTTTAAATTATGCACATTGTCTCTCTACATATATCCATAAAATATTTTGTTTCTACACTTTTCCGTTTTCGTATAATCAACCGAGGCGAATGAGGTGCGCCACCCTGTATATTTTATGTTTATGTTTGCTCTTTGTAATGAAGCAAGTCAATAAATAATTGTTATTTTGATTATCATATTATTTTATGTCTTTAAACCACTAGCAACGCTTAAGACCTCTTGAATTTAGCATGCGGACTCAGACTCCGCACGCGACCTTTCATGTAAAAAATAAAGCGCGACCTCCGGAAGGTTAATAATACACTAATTTATTCCACTCGTTGCGAGGTTCTGAATGAAGCTTTAGACTTGCTAAATTTCTAAAATTGTCATGGCAACGAAATTCTTGAAATGAAACTATTATAATAGAACTATTCATTTTTAAATAGCTCTATTTAAGAAACCGGAAGATTTAGGTATAGTAATATGATAATATCGTTGAAAAACAAGACCGACTAGAGAAAACCTAATAAGAAGTTTTTTTGGAATGCTGGATCACCCCGTATACAGATGATGATGTAAATGAATGTTTGTAAACCTATTTTTTGTTGTGTGCCGAAGACTAAATTTGCGTTTCTCTGTATTTGGAGTAAAACGAATCGTAACTTACATAATCGGCTAAAGCTTTCATTCCTCTAGGGAATCTGGTTCTATCAGGTACTAGTTCACCGTATTGGTTTCTTTCTTTCTCCAGCCAGCAGTCGTCCACGTTTATGTATTCGTAACCCACATTCGCGTAACCTTCGGTCACTAAAATATCCGCCATTGTCCTGAAGAGGTTCTCACTGCAAAAAAACAAGAGAAGAATTTACCAATAATTCGTTCTACTAAAGTGAAATAGTCACACTCATTATCAAATACCAAAACTAGAGAGGCAATGTTAAGGAAGGTAGTTTTCGTTGACTCATAAGAAATACGATGTGATGAACAATGATTGACATAGTTGGCTATTCTCATTTTGGTCGTTTGGTTGGAAAGACATTTAAAAAATTCGAGTATTTATCGGGTGTTTTAACTAACTAGAGCCAAAACAAACGAAAAATTAAATAATAAATTTATTTTTACGATATACCAATTTGTTTTCGACAAATAGTCGTTAATTTTGAATAACGTTATAATTTCATTTATTGTTAAAATATCTCCCATACCGATCACATTAAACTAGGTAAATGTTATATTACTTTGGAAAAACGTTTTGTTTTTTAGAACCTTCGAAAAAAATTAGTCGTATTTCATATTTTAACTCGGTGTGGAAATTTGGGAAAGTATACCGATTGCGTCTCAAAAGTGGCTCTAACCTAACCTAACCTCTATAACTTTTTTAGGTAATTATTGGGAAAACTGGAAATCGTCCGATTTTCACCAAAATTGGTATACACCCTATTTTGAGGTCGTAAATCTAAACTTTTTTCTGGCGTTCTCTTACCGCTTCTCAGAAAAACGAAAAATTATTTCAAGATCGAATTTTTCTTAATTTCTCATATTTTTAAGGTTTTCTAGCACATATTTTGTTGGGTATTCAATAAACAATGATGTTTTTGCTATTTTTTGTTACTTTTTTAACCAATTCTATGCATAATAGAGGAAAATTTGCTAAAATAAATTTGTAAACAATCTGAAAATGTTGGGTTATGTGTTTCTGGCATTTAAAGCAACGCTGCCAATGCTAAACCTAAATTTAGCGTGTTTTTTTCGCTTATTCCGGGATTACGAAAGGCGGTCGCCAGAAGAACGACTCCTTCCCATAACTGCTATTTTACCAACGAGATCTGACTATTTATAACCACGAAGTTGCACGAAAGAGTTTTGATTGCATTGGTTACAACTTCCATGCGGAGGGTGTCAATCTTTTGTTGTTGTATTATACCAAAAAAAGATTAACCCCCTCTGCAAAGAAGTTGAAACCAATGCAATCAAAACTCTTTCGTGCAACTTCATGATTATAAAAGTCTTTATATAACTTCTTTGCGGAGGGGGTTAATCTTTTTTTAGTATAATAAAACAACCAAAGATTAACAACCTCCGTATAGAAGTTGAAACCAATGCAATCAAAACTCTTCCGCGTAACTTTGTGGATATAGGTAGGTGGTAGGTATATTTAACTATTGTCAGATCTAATCATCCGAAAAAATAGAATATATGGCAACGTTGTAAATTTTCAAATTTCTAGATTAGGTCTAGAACATATTTGTCTCTCTCATTACATAGGAGAGAGAAAGAAGGACATATGAAATGTCAAACTATGGAAACTTCTATTTGGTCTACATTTTCTTTGTTATTTTGTTAAGAAAAGTGTTTTTCAGTAAAATTTTGGACATTTTTCTATCCTCAATAAAGTGTGGCTTTTAGATAAACTATAATATAATGAAAATACAGTGAAATTATTACTTTATAAGGACCGATTTAAGAAAAATTCAATGTTGAAATTATTTTCCGTTTTTCTGAAAAACGGTAAGAGACCGCCAAGAAAAAAGAATTCATTCAGATTCGTAATCTACGACCTCAAAACAGGGTGTATACCAGTTTTGGTGAAAATCGGACGATTTCCAGTTTTCCCAATAAATAACATTTCCCAATAACATTTCCCATTGACATATATGTCATTCTATTCAGAATGTCATTTTCTATCGAATAAAGTAAAAAAATACCGAGGGTTCCATTAAAAATCAAAAGTTGTAGTCATTTCCGGTGAAACAGGAAGTGGCCGAAAAGATTTGAATACGCCAATCAATCTTAATTTATGTCATATACTAACATGCCAAATCTCGTTTTTTTTTATCTGAAAAAATAAAAAAGTTATAGGGGTTAGCCAGTTTTGAAACGCACCCGGTATATAGGTAAACGGGATTAACCATTTTAGAAGAAGCAAACATTCTTATAAAGAGTGAAGTTTTCTTTAAAGACTAATTATTATAAAACAAATCTTTTCGTAAAGACAATCCTGGAACGTACTATATACAGGGTGAGTCTTAAATAAGTGCAAATATTTTCAGGGCTTGTAGATCTCGATGGAAAAAATATTTTCTCTTTATCGTTTTTTATCGAAGTCCAAAATAACTGAGACATTCAAGTTTGTAAATTAAAAAAAAAAAAATATTTATTTTTACAAAAGGTTTAGAGCCACCGGATTTCTTCTGTATTTGCATCCCTTGGAGGGCGGTAAAGCCAGTCCCACACGATGTGTCACACATGAACATTTCCCCCATTGTGTTGGAGACACACTTGTGAATTGCAATATTGTCGAAGACTATGATGCGTCCTATATACGTGGATTCAAACGTTGGAACCATCGTGTAGGACCGGCTTAACCAGAGAGTAAAGCCGTAACCATGGTAATATCAGAGATTAAGAAATGATAGGTACCGTAGAAAAATTTGCGGTGAACAGGCAGTCCTCAAAATTTTTTCAAATTATACAGGAAAATTTAAAAGAAAATGCACGAAAATCAACATCATTTTTCAATCTCATCAAAAACTCATAGACATGTTCCTGGAGTCGAAATATACAATCCCTTAAAGTATTTGCACTTATTTAAGACTCATTCTGTGTAACCACAGAATAGCGAACAATAATTATTCTCTATACTGTGATATAAATGTGGATAAATATTCATGAACTAGTAAATATTTTTGTCTATCAAATAATTTCGTCACCATACAATATAAACTTCTATTTTTATCAAAAACTATTAAAAGATAATCTCATAATTTATTTACAAGAATTTAACAAGGTTTTTATTAACCAGGAATTTTTATTTATTAATGGTATAAGTAGGCAATAGTAAGGATGTAGAGGATATCTCAATTTAAATCTAATTTTTTATGGCAAAAATTCGAATGTTAAGGTCGATGTAGAAGACTTATTGAATGCTATTTATTTTTATATTGATGGCTGTAATCATTTATATAATTATGATGTAATATTTCAAATTAAATCTTTATAATTTTTAATAATTTACGATTTTATATTGATACCCTATAACTTTTTATTATTTCAAATAAAAAAAACGAGATTTTGTATGTTTGGTTTGGTTTGGTTGGTACCGTATAATCGAACAAGAACGGCGGCGTTCAGTTGGCTTGAAAATGAACATCGATAACATTCCCCATATAATTTTATATATGTATAAAATGACAGAGCTCTTTATTTCGTAGCCATCGCTGACGCCGTTTTTTTTTCGATATTATTGTACAGGGTGGCGCCTCTCATACGCCGCGGAAGCTCCAAGGAGAATGGTAGTTTATATCGGAATGAAATTTTGGTATCATATGTAGGTTAACTGAGAGCATTTTATAAAAATGTATAGAATTATATAGGATGTCACCAAAAAGTTACACATCAAAGTTGTGTTTTTTTCTAATGGAACACTCTATTTTTAGTAATTTAATAATAAAAACACAGAACCTTTCCGATAAACTACAATTCAACACATTTAATCAACTATAAATGACAAATAATACGTCAGGAAACTTTAATAAACACAGACAGCATTGAAACGAGCGTGCTGAAGTGTCTCATCATACTGGCGCGACCGACAGCGGTCCGTGCTTATCTTCCCAAAAATAAACCAATTTTGTTTATATAATCATATTTCTAACACGGCCAATTCTGACACGGACTTCGCTCTCGAAGTCATTCTATTCGGAATCGGCTATTGAATATCAGGAATATCACGGCGGTCCGTGCTTATCTTCCCAAAAATAAACCAATTTTGTTTATGTAATCATATTTCTAACACGGCCAATTCTGACACGGACTTCGCTCTCGAAGTCATTCTATTCGGAATCGGCTATTGAATATCAGGATGGAATTGTTCATTGCTATCCACCAAAGGTGATATTCTGAGTAGTCAGTTGTTCTTATAGGAATTGGTATCTTAATTAGAGAGGTTTCTTTATAACGAATCCACCTACTACTCTATTAGCTAATCAATTTACTCATAACCTTCCAGACTTTCAATACTTATTCATTACATTCTCAGAAATATATTTTTTTCAATCTTATATGTTACATGCTTATATGTTACATGTTACTTCAACATTTAAACATTCTTACATTCTTTCAACACTCAAATATAACAACAGTGCAAAGCGTCCATCCTTTCAACACTCAAATACTACAACAGTGCAAAGCGTCAATGCTTTTAACACTCAAATACTACCACAGTGCAAAGCGTCCATGCTTTCAACACTCAAATACTACAACAGTGCAAAGCGTCCATGCTTTCAACACTCTACAACAGTGCAAAGCGTCCATGCTTTCAACACTCAAATACTACAACAGTGCAAAGCGTCCATGCTTTCAACACCTAAATATTACTAAAACATTACTAAATTATTACATTACTGATATCTACATTAACTAATTATAATTAATATTTTTATCATCATTTTTTTTATATTTCTGCAATACATATCAAAACTTAAGTAGACAATGACTAATAAACAAAACTAGTTCAACACATATACAAAAAATAACTGCCATCTCAGTAATGCATCTCATCTATTAATAATTTGCGTTTTAAAATTAGTTAGTTGAAATCCCCTGCATAAAACCACAGATAAAATAAACTCTGAATTTTTTGCATTTTGAATAAAACAAATTGAGAAAAATAGAAACAAACATAACAAATGCGACTGTATAATATTACTATTTACGAGTAATAATTAATAAGTTCAGTTAGAATGTTTAATTTTCCTAATATTTTAATAAAATAAAAACATAACGCTTGCTGAGAATGAAACAACAAAACAAAACTATTTTAACCTGCAAGAAATAAGTAAAA